GGTCCTTTGGTGGGCCGGCCTCCGTGCCTTGGGTCGGCACTGTCTGTCGATGGTCTCGGTTGTCCTTCCGAATGCAGTCGAATCTTCTACCATATTGCTCCATACATAACAAATAGATATATTGTCCTTATACTGCTTCTCTATGGCGCCTTTTACTTAGTTACTTTCAAGAACTCTCCTCGCACTTCAACTAAAGAGAGTCTTGTTAAACCTCGAAACAGTAGAAGAAATACTCTATGGTGCAAATGCTATTAGCTCCCTTCTTTGAAATGTTTGGTTGGAAAGGAACAATCGAACCTTCACAAACGTCTCCAGATCGAGTGATAATATATGGGAAGACGTCAATATCTCAACCTCATCCTGGTCTTGTAAATATCATATTTTCTATAATTATAACATCTATACCACCTCTCTTGATTGAAGTGCCTTCCTCCGGTCTCTTTTTTATTTACTTCTAATATAATATTTGTGTTAAGTACATAAAAAATGGATGTATAATTAATATGAATATTGTGATAAGTTACGTCAGCTTTTTTTTTGGTTAAAATATTCATATTGTGATAAGTTACCTAAGTTTTTTTTTTCTTTTTGTTAAAATAACATGTGAAGGTGAAGATTTGAATCTACTATTTTTTTGTTGGAAGATATGAACATTTAAATCCATAATCTTTTTGGCGTAGAATTTTACTATTCTTTAAGTTAGCGATAATATAGTTAAGTTAGTTATCAACAACGGATAAATGGATGTATAATTAATTTGAATATAATTTATATACATAAAGAAAAATGGTTCAATCAATATATTGACAGAAAATAAAATTTTTTCAATACAATAAAAGAAAAATTGTTCAATCAATATCAATAGCATTAAATAGTGTGATAGAGAGATTGCTGGGAAACACCAAAACAGCAAGTAGTGGAAGTTTTTTGCGAATTTAATTATACCATTTGTTAATATTTTTATTTCTTTTTTGTTTTTTTATTTGTTTTTGTTTTTTTAATGTTTCTCCTTTTTTATATAAATAAAGACAATCGTGGTGGATAACTATTTCTTATTTTTTATTTTCTAAATTTTTTTAATTAAAATTAAATATTCAAAATGTTTTATGGTATATTTAATTTTTAATATTTTTTGGAAAAAGAGACTTCATTGATGTATGTGAGAAACATACACAAAAAAAAGGAGGCCTATATAAAAGCATTTCAATTAAGAGATATAGTAGATGTATCGTAAGTACAAAAAAGATTAGATTTTGTAGACCAAAGAGAAGCAGTGACTTTGATGTCCTCCCAAATGTTGGTTGTAGTCTTCCAAAAACCTGTAAATGTTCGGTGATTTCTTTCTAACCAAGTATGCCAAAAAATAGCACTTATAGCATTGCTCCATAATATACAAACTTCTGGTTAGAGAGAGGAATGCTAAGGTTTTCTGTGATGAATAAATCGACTTGGCAAGAAATCGCACTTTGGACCTGAAAAATGTAGAAGAGACGATGCCATAAACTTGCAGTAAAAGGGCAATTAAGGGCAATGAAGGAAAATATGGTCCAAAGTTTAAAGGAAAATATTTAATTTTTAATATTCATTTATACATTTTATAAATTAAGAATGATAACATAATATATTATTTATGTCTTGGAAAAAAAAAATAGAAAAGAACAAGAAACTTGAGTTTGTACTTGTTCAAAAGTTTCTACACAATTTTAGAAACCTTTTTGAAAATGAAAAACAAAAACAGAAATAGTTATCCAATACTTATATTTTAAAAGAGTTACTCTTTTTCCAAAAAAAAAAAAATATTTCAAAAGAGTTAGAACTTTTTTTTTTCCTTTTTAGGGATCCCAACCATCAAATCTCATTTGATTTTGAGGCAATATTCTAGTCAGTTCGGGAATAATTTTAGAATGAGTGATTTTAATCAAAGAGATTTAATGATAATTTGATTTTTATATAATTATTTTAGGGTTTGGTTACGCATTCTTCTAAGTGATTTTTATATAATTAAAATTGATTTGTAATATGATTAATATTTGAAGTTTAAAAAAATATATATTTGAAATTTAAAGAGAGAATTTGACAAAGTTTTAGAGGGAGAAAAGATGAGGGAGAAATTTTAGAGGGTTTGAGACAAAAATTTTAGATAGAGAAAAAAACTTAAAAAATATGGAAAATAAAAATTTAGAGAAAAATAAGAATTTAGAGAAAGATTATAAAATTTTTATAAATTATAGTAAATAAACCAAATTAAAGATAAATTAAGTTAGAGAACGACCAAAATTTTAGAAATGAAAAAAAAAAATTCTCAAATTTTGAAGTTTAAAATGAGGTAAAATAGAGAGAAAAGTTTGAAATTAAGACAATAATTTTTTGAAAAACAAATTTCCCATGCTTTTTTTTTTTTCAATTTTCTTGAGTTTAACAAGGGAGTAGTAGCTAGAATTAAAACTTCTAACCCTTTGGGGTAGGTAGTGTGGTAGCTAAAATTAAAACCACTAACCCTTTCAAGAGGTCAAGTAATTTGGTAGCTAGAATTAAAACTTCTAACCCTTTSGAGAGGTAAGTAATGTCTCGAGATTATCTTGAACCCATTTGAACTTATCAACCCTTTCTAAACTCAGCATCCATTCTCTATATATAACACATCAATTTGCTCTTTCATTCCATCTAAAGCTGATAAGCTTAATCTCAAATACAATTCATGAGCTCCAAGTCAACCACAAACACCATGGTGAATGGCTTTCAAAAGCTCCCAAATTTCTTACAAAAGGTGACAATTTTGGGTTATCACTACTTCATAACCCACTTTCTCAAGCTTTGTTTGATCCCTCTAATGGCTTTTGTCACTCTTGAGGCTTTCCATATGAGCTCATATGACATTCTCCATCTTCACCCCAATCTCCTTATCCTTGTTGCTATTTTGGGACTCACTCTCTTCACCATGACCCGTCAACGATCCGTCGTCTACCTCATCGACTTCTCCTGCTACCGATCGACACCGCCACGCTGTTTAAAGTTTACATCTGATACGTTTATGGAGCACATGAAGCAGACCGGTTTCTTTGATGATACGTCGCTTGAGTTTCAAAGCAAGATACTCAGGCGGTCAGGCATCTGTGAAGAGACGACCGCTCCTGAAGCTATGATGTGTATTCCACCCCAGTCGACGCTCAAGACGGCGAGAGAAGAAGCCGAGACTGTGATATTCGGTGCCTTAGACAATTTATTCGCCAATAATATCAACGTCAAACCCGAAGACATCGGTATCCTTGTCGTCAGCAGCGGAACCTTCAGCCCTTTGCCTTCACTTTCCTCCACGATTGTGAACAAATACAAGATGAAAAGCAACATCAGGAGCTTTAACTTGGGTGGAATGGGGTGCAGTTCTGGAGTGATAGCCATTGATCTAGCCAAGAACATGCTCCAAGTTCACAAAGACAGCTACGCCATTGTTGTTACCACAGAGAACATCACGCGTAATTGGTACCCCGGGAACAAGAAGGAAATGTTGATACCCTTGTGCTTGTTTCGTGTCGGTGGCGCCGCGGTTCTTCTCTCCAACCGGAACTCCGACCGGTGGCGTGCAAAGTACAAGCTAGTTCATCTGGTGAGGACACACAAAGGGGCGAATGACACTGCATTCAAATGCATATATCAGGCAAGATCGTTGCTCATATATCCATCAATATATATCCCTAAATTATAAGGTTTGATATCAAAAAAATAAAAAAGATTATTAATACTAATAATAAGATTTATGTTAAATTATAAGTTTGTCTAGGGCCTAACAAGGATTTATAATATAAGTGGGCTACTCCTCTCATTGACAATTAATTTTGAGATGGAACCCATGAATGTTTATATAGTATCAAAAACCAAAAGATCAAACGACCATCCGGTCCAAAAATGGAATCTGACTAAGATCGGTGAACTCAAAAGAAGTACCATCTCGAGAGGCATGATAAGTAATCTGATAAGAGTTTATAATATAAGTAGGATATTCTTTCCAATTGATTTTAAGATAGAATCCTATAAATATTAAGTTCATATGAGTTAGTTAAATATTCAGAGTTATTAGATTAATTTAGTCCATATACTAATTTAATTTATGTTTAATTGTTTTCTAAACTTTAACAGGACTCTATTGTTAATTTCAAAATGTCAATTTCATTCATTGTGTTTCTATTTAAAGGTTACGTAGTAAGCTAATTTTCAATCGGATTCAGACATTTGGTAGTGTAAACGTGAAAACAAAAATAACCAAAGAGTCTTACTTATAGCTAATTTAAGAAGCACAAACTACTTATTTATTAATTGACATTATTGACATAAACATATCTTTAATTATCATTGATATCAGGAGGAAGACGATGTTGGGATCACTGGCGTCTCGCTATCCAAAGATGTCGTGGCCACAGCGGGCAACGCTCTAAGGACAAACATCAGAACTCTTGGGCCTTTGGTTCTTCCATTCCGCGAGCTACTTCACTTCACCACCACGTTCGTCGCTAAGAAGCTCTTGAACCCTAAGATGAAGGGTTACATTCCAGATTTCAAGGTTGCGTTGGAGCATTTCTGCATCCATTCCGGAGGGAGGGCGGTGATCGACGAGCTCGGGAAGAAGCTTCGGCTTTCAGCAGTGGACATCGAGGCGTCGAGGATGACACTGCATAGGTTTGGGAACACATCTTCAAGCTCCATATGGTACGAATTGGCGTACACAGAGTGCAAAGGTAGGGTTTTGAAGGGACACCGCGTTTGGCAGATTGCTTTAGGGAGTGGTTTCAAATGCAACAGTGCAGTGTGGGTGGCTCTCATGGATGTCAAGCCATCTCCAAACAGTCCTTGGGAAGATTGTATCATAAGGTACCCCATTGTAGAAAATTGTTGATCTCTAGGGTTTCTCTCCAATTTATTAGACAAAAAGGAGGTATAAATTTAAATTATTTTAGGCCAACTTAGGCACGAATAAGGTCGTAGATTCGAATTTCTAGCGAGATGTTTTTGAATGTTACACATATAAAGGAGTGTTTGGATATCTCCACCTCGAATGGAAGAAATGTATTATGAAGCAATGTTTTTGATTCTGTTGTGTGGGATATTTGCTCGGATTGAAATAAGCGCTCTTTGTAGAAGTTCACAAATCCAAGGTTCGGCTTTGAGACGACATGTATTAAAACAGACTTTCTCTGGGCGGACAAAATCGTCTTTTTTATAGCTAATATATATCTACCACTCGTAGCATTATATTTCTCAAATAGGAATTATATTGTTAAAAAAAAAAGGAAAGAAATAAAGGGTTAGTCTAAAATAATTGAATGACCTCAATATAACATCAAATAATATTGATATAACTATAATACGATATATCACTTGTTAAATCTTAAATGATAAATTACTAATTAATTTCATAATAAACATTGATTATCTTAATTTCTAAAAACTTAAAGAAGTAATTTTTTTTTAAATCAGTTCATCTTTGTTAATTGAGTGGTCCATATAAAATATGATGATTTACATCTTACACCTAAATATGAAAATAGTTTCTTTTAGACTATATATGATATACATTTTTTAATTAACTTCAAATTATTTATTTATTATTGTTTTTTCTATTTTAATTTTTTGGAATCGATGGCGTGTGGCTTATACTAGATCCCTATAATTAAGACTCTATTGCGTGAGTTGGGCAATGCTACCCCTGCTGAGGACGACTTGAACCAAATTCTCATRCTAGGTGATAGTACAAGGTCTAAGACTCTTTTTACTATGCCATTTCCGAGAGAAAATTAACTTCATATTATTGTTTCAAATTATTTTTTTTTTCAGAACATCAAATTACCTTATTTCAAAAGTACTTTCTAAAGAACTACACCCATTTGTATAGAAATATTCCTTTGAGCCACGAGAATATGACCAAACAACCGATTTCTTTGTTTTAACATTGTAAGAACAAAGGGGAATTGGAATAAAGCACACCACGAATAAATGTGTACTAGATGCCCTCAAAGTTAAGCTATCTCAAGGTCCAACATTGTTTTTTGGTGACTTTTTTCTTTTTATTTCAATCCTATTTTTTAATTAATGTGTTAAATATTTGATGAATTGGATTTTTGTTGGATTGATAACGAAAGCAAAACTAACTCGAGAATCATGCTTATCGAATTATTAGAATCAACAACATAGGAGAAGAACAATCAAATTTGTATCCAATCACATTATATACTATATAATCGAATTCAGCAGTACCTCAATATCTAAGCACACTAGAATTCAAGTTTCTATCTGACAAATAGGAAGGCGGAAAACTGATACGTTTAGCGCATTGGAGACCATGATAACCCTTCTATTCCATTTCATATAGACTCTTCCGTAGAACTTCATTAAGTGCACTGGATACTGGAATACCTGGATTATGCCTTCTCGGTGGATGTTGTCGAAGCCTTAACAGTGGAGGAGGGTCTGAAGCTAGCACTGGATACTGGGAATTTCTCCAGTCCAAGTCGAGATGCGCACAATGAAGATGATTTATCAAAGGTTCGGTTGATTATTCAAAAGGCAAAGAAATGTATAGCAAATCAGCTCCATGAAACTTACAATTTTACAAAACGAGAAGGAAATGGGTTGCTCATTTTTTGGCGAGGCGGGCATTGCAGAAGAAGGAAAACGTGATCTCGTGCAACGCTGTGGGTTCTATATATATTATGGTCAATTTGGTTGGAAATGAACAATAGAACCTTCACATATGTCTGTCTCTAAGACTTTCAATCATCTTTTGGGATGATATTATTGTTTTAGCTTCCTCTTGGTCATCCAAATCCAAGTTTTGTTTTTTAATCATGATATATCTTTCATTTCTCTAAATTGGAGTGCTTTCATTTAGCCTCCCCTATTTTGTATGTTTCTCACATGCCTAATGAAATGGTTCCGATATCTTTAAAAAAAAAAAAAGAACGCCATTTGGATGGAATAAGACTATTTAAAGTTGTCTAACGGTTTTGGAGATAAGACCATTTAGAGTTGTCAACGGTTTTGGAGAGATTGTAATTTGGGGATTTCATCTATTTAGTTTCCTTTATTGCTTTTCCGCTCAAAAAAAAAAAAAACTTCATTATGTAGTAAGACTTATTGGAAATCCACCCACTCTACACTCAATGAAAATTTCGTAGGTCTATTAAATTATAGATCACTTTAGTTGGTTGATTAAATAGCTTAATAATATAATTATGTTACTATGTAGTCCACTTTTTCTTTTTTTTTTTTAACATTTGTAGTCCACATTTTATTATTAGAATATGTATCCAAACATTTTAACAATTGTATCCTGAATATACATGGTCAATTCCCGCAAACCATCTTTTGCTATAATGATATATTTAGTCTAATTAATTGCAGATTCGTAATATGATAAAATATTTTCTAAAAATAGCACAACGGGGTGGATTCATATATCAAAGATGTAATTTATGTTGTGTAATATCAGTTATAAAAAATGGTATATAAGTAATATACTTTATCATATAAAGGGTAAATCATATACTTTACTTATATACATCATTAATATACGAAGAAAAAGATTAATACACGGCCCTGCATATAAGAACAAATTCCTAAGGTACGTAGGTGGTCATTAGTGGGTTTTAAACCCGTAATTTACTCTAATCGTTTTAGACCAATGAAGCACTCCGCTAGAATAACTTTTCTGTATTATTTGTAAATTTTCAAGGACCCTTAGCTTTCTGAATTTTCAATCATATTTTAAAAAYAAACAAATTCTATTAGAAACTAGCCGTTTACCGTGTGTTCATTTTAATTAACATTTTTTGAGAAGTAGATTACAGAGTCCAGAAATCATGATTATATTGAGTAGATCAAAGATTTTATTCTTTTCTAAAACAAATAAAAAATGAAATGATAATCAAATGGATCGTTAATTGTACACTTTATTGAGAGAATTCTGATTTAAAAGATAAACTTGTACATCAAAATATGTATATGTGAGAATCCAACCAGCCAAGTGAGCCATTTTTGTTCAACCATTTATAAACTTTGGAATATGAATGAGAGGTTGAAAGATGACAGTGCAATGGTAGGCAACTTTATCGCAGCTTAAGATACTTCAGCAGCCTACRAAAATTAGCAAATGAACATTAAGGGGAAAAAAAATAAAAAGCATTCAACTACCCCATTTAGCTTATTCTTTTTTAAAGAAAAAAAAAATATTTGAAACCCTTTCMTTCAAAAAGGTACGTGAGAAATATACAGAGTACAGAAAAAAAAAGTCGGAAGAAAGCACTCAAGTTAAGGAAAATTATAGAGATATCGTAGTCAAACCTAAAATCTCAATATCTTCACAAAGATGAACGCATGATTTTGGAGAGTCCGAAAAAAGTCTGTTGTTTCTTTTTCATCCAAATGAACGAGAATAACAATCCCACAGCATTCACAGCATTGCTCGAGAAGAAGAGGGAGAGAGTCGAATTTAATTTTATTAAAATGAATTCTTAAACTTAAACTAGTGGCAAAAAGTTGGCACTCTTTTAAAATGTTGTGTATTTGTTTTGTTTGGATGAATCTTACATTTTTGTGTAGGTGTTTTTTTTTTGTGACATTTGAGTTATAGGTTTATGTATTTTGTGGTTTTATTTTGGGAGTTTTTTTTTGTTACTCAAATTTGAGAACAATAATTAAGGCTCATTTCAGTTCTGATGTTCAATTTGATAGGATTAAAATCTTTAAGAAAGATTCATCATTTTATCTTATAATACATAACCCAACGATCAATTTTACCTTCAACCTAACTTCATCTAATTAAATCTTAAACTTGAACAAATGGTAAATAATTTCATACCTCCTCAAAAATAATAATAAAATAGTTCCCAAGGTAACTAAAAAAAAAAAAAAAGACTCAAAATCAGGTCACACTAGTATATCCAAACTCAACCATAAAATACTCAAGTCTAGTCATAAAATTTATTCACATACAAAATTACCGAAACTAAGTAATAAAATGTAAAAATCCAACCAAGAATATTTAACATATCAAAAAACAACTAGTACCAAAAAAAAATGGAAAAAATATCATCAAACTACAATGATTAGAAATACTTCCAAAACTATTTCTAAATAAACAATATAGTTAAGATAAAAAGAAAATACTTTAGATTCTTTRAGAACCCAAATCTTATCTTCACTGTGTTGAAAAATCGAGAACAAATTATTTTWAAAAAAAATTCTCGATTTCTACATTTATCTCACTTAATTATCAAATATTTAATGGTGAGGARGACAAGATTCTAATTATTTTTYTAAAGATAATTTSCATTGAATAAGTCAAAAGTTTATATCTCCTCCCAAGTCCCACCTACTTAAACTTGAAAAAAATAAAATAATAAGTTGCTAAAAATTCCTTCTACCATATCTATAATTTGGGGGAAAAACTAAAAAACATGCATAAAAATATCTTCAAGAAAAAAGAACTTATAAAAATATCGTGGAGCTAAATATCTTTGAATCTTCCATCATATTCTTCACTAACCTCAACTCCTCATCGGCATTGCCGGCGGCGRCGGCGGAGGCTCTGTAATTGGGGATGGGAACGCGGCCGGACTCGATCCGCCGGAGATCTTCCAAGAGAATCTGGTAGTGACGTTTGACTTCGTCGGCGGACTTGCCGCCGACGGCGTTGGCAATATTCTGCCATCTCTCCGGCGTTTCTTTGTCGTACAAAGCCAATGCCTTCTCGAACAGCTTGTTTTGCTTCGCCGTCCAAGTTGCCTCCGGCCGCTGCTGCTTCAGAGAGCTCGAAGCCATTGATATGGACAAAAATGGGAGATGGGGTTTCTTTTTTTGTGGAGATTATGGAGAAACGAGAGAGATTTATATATATATTCGAGAGGGGCTGTGGGTTGAAGCCAGTTGGAAGAATCTGTGTCGGCGAGTGTGACTGGTTTTGCTTTTGAGCCACAAGTGTGGAGAGAAGATAAAAAGAATCATTATCAAAAAGGATGAAAAGGGTGTTTGATTTTTCTTCAAAACATTAGATGAGTTTTGTTTAAGGGGCGTTTGGAGCAGGGGTTCGATATCAAAGTGGGAAGGTCCTGTATTTGAACATMTGCGAGGGTTGAGAATTCATATATATATGAATTAAATTCAGTCAACCCCATCAGCTAAAACTTTTGGGGTGRGGGATAGTTTATTTATTTTTTACGGTTTGAATCTCGGAAATTAGATTTGGTTATTTGGGTTACTATTGAAACTAGCAACAAACTCAAGTTTAGCAAATTCACCTAGCAAACAAATGAGTTCTCAAAATCTTAAACAAAACTCATCCTAACTTAAACCCGAACCTGGACACCCCAAACACCTCCTAGGAGTTTGTTTCTAGAAATTATTTGAGCTAAATGATAAAGTTTTAGGACTCGTTCGAAGCAGAAACGACTCGTGAAGCTGTCAAATTGTTGACATATGACTACTATCTAGGAGCTAGTAACTATGTGATTGATGACCACACAATTATAAACAACTTTTCATTTTGAACAAATCTTATCTCCAAAGTTTAAAATTACAGCATTAATTCATGGTTRAATTGAGAAAGAAAAAGGCTTTTTCAATTTTTATAGCATTTCTCCAAGTTGGGTTGCTTTCAAACCAAACCAAAACAAAGTTGTTTTGTAGCTCTTGGAAATCGAGAACCTTAATTTGTTAATGGAAGATGGATTTGAACTGTTTGATGAAATGTCACAGTGAAATTTCAACCATTGTATTGTTGAGTTGAGCCCTTTGTCTTCATCCTCGCAAGGAAATTAATATTTGCTATGGATAATGTTTGCCCATTTACACGCTTTGAAGCCATGGAAATGGAATCCTATCAACAAAGGATTTTTCTCAGTTTCWTTTATGAGTGTTGTGTCAGAGAACTTGGTTGCTTGACTGCAAAATTTTGAGGCTCGAATTTCCAGGTGGATCCAATTGGTTGACCTAACATTATTTATGCTTGTCCAGATAGATATCGATCTAAATTAAATTTATCATAATTCATCAATTTAAGCTTTTGAATTTATTAGTAATTTAGCTGGGTTTTAAGATGGTGTCAAAATAGGAAGTTTTGTACCCGGTCTGTTTGATCATGCGGTCAATTTGAAATATTAACGCACAGTCGTTATTTTCAAAATGAGTGTGGTGTTTAGAATATTTTTAAAAATGGTTTTTTTTTGTAATATTGTTTTTAGAATCCTAAACAAATCCATACAAAATGATTATATAAGAAAATAAATAAGCTCTTATAGTGGGAACACGTTTTTTTTTTTTTTGCTAACCTATTCTATCTAGTATTTTTATTTTCCCAACAGTTTATACATGAACTAATTGTAAATATGATATAAAGTGCCCTTTATAGCAATTTTATGGTAGTTTTCTTCTTTTTGAAGCCATGCATAAAATTAGTATAAGCTGTTTCTTTTCTCATAAACTTCTATTATAAAAACATTTTTAAAATCATAGCATAAAACGAAAATGAATATTTTTTAAAAAAATTTGTCCAAGATTTAAAAAGTGTTCTTAAAAATAAATAACTTGGACAAAAAGAAATATTAATAAAAGACTAATATTTTGAAAATTTTAGAACTACAAATATAATAATGCATAACAATACTGAAATAAACTAAAATCATGCCAGAGCTCATAAGACCTGTATATGAGAGAAGCTTCTTGTTTTTGTATATTTCAATTACCGATGAAYTATGTTCACTTTTGCGAGAAACGTTTAATGGAAGTTGAATTCTGTTTTACACATGTTTTGAAAAATGTATATCTACTAATTTTCCATATCCTCATTTAAATCCTATCTCAAATAAAAAAAATTAAAAGAAAAAAAAAACTCACATGCCTATCCCTATTTTAATGTATAAATTAATGTCTCTATTATATGAGTGAAGATTCTATCTATTACCAAGTAGATTATTAATCACCATTCACCGAACTCTTGAAAAGAAGCAAGCTTCAATCGTTTTCTTCAAAATTAACGCCCTCGTTGCARAGAGGTTAAAGAGCTTTCAAATGCCAAAGTGATCTTTCATTATCTTGTCTCATATCGTTGCGATAGTACACACCTTCAAATTTAAGTTATYTTCCCCTACAATGTTTATCATGTGTGACCCTACACAAAAATTTAAGATAGAAATTGAATGATGAGTGAAAAGAACCGGTCATACCTAGCACATGTTTCACTTTCTCTTACAACAATATCGATGGTATACACTTTTTATAGATTATAATGTCATACATCTGCTGTTAACAAATTTATGTTATTAAGAATGTAGGAGGAAAGATTAAATTTATCCCAACCCATTATAGTTCATATATTACTCATATGTAAAAAGTTGCATTTAGGGAAAAAAACACATAGGACAAACTAAAAGAAAATAATTATTCAAATATATATCATCTTTCCATTGAATTCTTATTCCTTGTAAGGAAAAAAGAAGAAACCATTTTGAAAAGAAAAGGTGATTGATTAAGAGAATGAGTCAAATGGTCCAAATTCCATTGAATTCAACTTTTTCCCCACAAAAGTTAGAAAATCAAATTGGGATCTTGTTGAGTACAAGACACATAAATGTCCAAAGGGAAGCTTGGCCCATCAAGCCAAGTTGCCCAACCAACTAGCCAGGTTTTCTTTAATTTGATAAAGGGAAAATCGAATAATAATGTGAGAAAATTCTTATTATATCATACATCCAACCAACAACAATAATAAATGGTATTTTCAATTTTTTTTTATTACCCAGAAGTCGACTGCCCTCTATTTTACTCMTATACATATGCAAAGSGTCATTGTTTGATGGAATTGTATTGCTTGTGGTTTGAACCTAAACCTAAACCTATAACCTCAAGGATATTCCTTGAAGCTCCAAACGACTCAAACTATCCTTTAGGGACAGATGATATTTTCAATTATTCAAAAAAAATAAATAAATAGTAGTTTCATTTTGAAACCTTTACATTTATTTCATTCTAGTCTTTAAATTTTGAAAATGTTATATTCTCGAATGTTATTTTTCATTCTTCAACCCATTTTTTTTTAAAAAAATATCACACCACAAATATGGAAGTAGTAATTTGAACCTACAAATGTAGAGATGGTCGGTCAAACGTTTAATTTTAGGGAATATAATCGATATCTTAGATGTTGAAGTATGTTAGAATAAATTAACGAGGTCTTTTTATCATGTGCTCATGAATGTTTATTTTTATCTTTGTTGTTAAATTTCTATATTGCATATATATAACAAATATCTGTCTTTCATTCTCAAGTTTAATATCATGCTCAATCCATGTGGCTTCAAATTCAAGTCCACATAATATCACACAAGATTTTTATTCAATTCCCATATGAAAATTTAATTAAGTTCATGCAAACAATGTATACTTATGTTTCATGGTTTACTTCAAATTTTTTGGGAACTCTTGGTTAAATTTTAACATAAACAAGTTTTTTTTTTAATTTACAAATTCTGGCTAGGTTTCTAAAAAATGCTTAATATATATATATATGTATATGTATAGACACACATAAAGTAATCAAACCAGGCTTTAACAACATAATTTTTTTATCTAAAATACTAAGAAATCAAAACAAAGCATTTTAAGGTCGGTTTGATAACATTTACGTTTTTTGTTTCTCGTTTCTAATTTTATTTTAGAAATTTAAACATTGACATCTATTTGTTTTTCTKGTTCTTTTTTAGAAACATTCTCAAAATTGTATAAAAATTTTGGAAATAATAAAAACAAGTTTCTTATTTTTGTTTCCAATTTGTTCCAAAACATAAATAAAAATATTCTCAAAAATATTCTTTTAGAAACATTCTCAAAATTGTATAAAAATTTTGGAAATAATAAAAACAAGATTCTTGTTTCTATTTCTAATTTGTTCTAAAACATAAATAAATATATTGTTTTATCATTCTTGAATCCATGGGTGTTGGAGCCATCCAATTCTATTTTTCTTTATTAAAAAATGATGAAACATAAGCAAGAAATAGGAAGCTTACTAAACGAGTCTTTAGTTAAAAAATGAATATTATAAGAAAACAGAGATGAAAAAAGAAAAAAAAATAGAAAGAAGAKAGTGGTCCTAAAATGATTGGATAACTTTCTTTGATGTATTTGTGTCAACATTATCTATGGCCCAACCATGGAAAGTATCCATTCATCATCTCCAAATAACCAATTAATTTCCCTTTAGGCTGCCTTTGGAGAGCTTGAAGTTTTATGAATCAAAACAAATGGGTCTTAATCACATAAAGAAATAAGAATTGTGACTTTTCAAGAGGAAAAGGAGCAATCCACCACTAGCAAAGCATATGATACTTGGAGATGATAAAAGTGCACAATATTTCAAAAAGAAAGAAAAKATTTCTTGACATCTAAAAAAGTTTTTTTGTTTGGAATATACAACGACTCATTTTGATTACGATGTTGTTTTTCGTTTCTCATTCTTTCAAATAAAATGTCAAATTAAGTAGTAAGTTATTTGTGTCATTTTTTGCTCTTTTAAAATACTACACTAGAACAATTTTACCGTGGCATATCATTGCACGCATGATGTATTTAACATGTGTTTTTAAAATCTAAGACTTCACTTGATAACGATCTTGATAATAGATTTTCATCGACATGTTAACATTCCTATCGATATTTTTTATTTGTCAATGGATTCAACAAAAATATCACTAAAGTGAATATAATATTAATAATTTTAATTTTTAACTTATTTTAAAATGATGAGATGCTTCTTTGTTAGTTTAAATTTTTTTTATAAATTTTTATTTTTAATGATTTTTTCATAAATATCCATCGATATCCACATTT